GTAGGGTGATTTTATTTGTGCTTTCCTTGTGGGCCTTTGATTTGGTAGGTTCGCTTGAGGGTATATGTCTTTTGATGAAATTCCGTGGATATCCATTTTTTTGGAAGACAGATGTCTATGAAATATCTTTCGTCAATTTTCCTTAAGGTGGAAGTGCTGCAATGAATCCTGACTGGCCCTCTTGAATAATGTTTGTATACAATTCCTTTTGTTTGTTATTGGATTGTTGCTTTTGTAATTCAGTATTTGGTCTGTGTGAGTTGATTTAGAAAAAGAGAAGACGTTCAGCAAAGAGACTGTTTTCGGCGAATTCATTCATTGATTTTCTATAAATGTGTCATTATTATTTATTGTTCCCTGGGGTTCAGAGTAGAACATAGTGCTTCAACAGTACATCTTCTTTTCACTTGTTCTTCGCAGATCTCTTCAGCCGGTCCTATGATTGGCGATCAGCTTTCATCTTTCCCAGACAAGATCTCCTCCGTGACACCCTTAGACACATGCCTAACTCGTCATTTCCCATTTGGATTCCACTCGAGGACACGACGTTCTCCTCAGCATGTGTCCAATACATCTCTATTTTCTTCTGTATATCTACTGCCCAACAGGTTCTTGAATGGTTTGTTCTCAATCAGAGTTTCTTGTTGCTAATTCTTTCTGGTCATCTAAAGGCAGAGTTATTGATAAAAGTCTGCATTAGTCTGTTAGCAATGCTTTGTGCGACGCGCTAAGTTCCTGGCTCGTATAGAAGATTTCTAAACTGATTTCAGAATGAAGAAGGTTTTCCATGCATTTCCGATTCTGGTTTCGTTATAAAATGATGCTTCCTGACTAAGCGAAAGAAGTAACATCTTCCAAATTCCTCCCGTTGATAGTGATTGGTGATTTTGATTGTTTTGTTGGTTAATTATCTTCATCACCTCTGTCTTCTCTGAGTTCTCATTTGAAGTCCTGTCTTTTCTACTTTTTTCGCCAATTGGTTGATTTTATTTCAGTAAGTCTTCACGTTTATGTGACATAAGACATGAATCATACACGAAGTCCAGCTCATCAATCCAATAAAATTCATTAGGAAAACCAGAAAAGGTCGAAAGCAAAATAAAAATAATTGTGAAACTAGTAATGATAACATAAATAAGAAAGAATATAAGGCATTCACAGTAGTTTTACCATGGAATGCTCGAGAGAACATCTGAAACCCTACGTAGGATTCTGAATAAAGCAGGAATTAGGGTGGCATTCAAACCTACAAACTCACTCACGTAGGACAAGCTCTGTAGGCTGAAGGACCCTGTCTGTTGATCCAATTGAACAATATAATATAATTTACAAAATACCTTGCAATGACTGTGATTTAAGTCAACTGTATAGGTGAAACTAGTAGATCCGGGGTAATCAGATTGTCGGAACATAAGAATTTAACTAAGGTAAGAATGGATAACCATACCCGCGAAGATAAGTTATTTAGAAAAAAGCTCAGCACTACATTTCACTGCATGCATTAACACACAACCACACAATTGGGCGGGTGGGAGAGGGTTAATATTCTAAAAAGTAATATAGGTACGTGGAGAGAGAGACAGAGGTTGATTACTGAATCCTGCCTGGTTCGTCGAGTCTACGCCCAACGCAACACATGCAACAGAAATGATTCAATGCAAATACCAGGGATATGGAAGATATTATTACCACCAGTCAAATCAGAAGAGGATAATAAATAATCTTAAAATTCTATTTGAATTCACATACATCATAACGTTCTAACAAGTTACTTATTATGACTATAAAAACACTCGTCTTATTTCCCATCTAACTGTATTTGATTGATAACACTCATATTATTATTTCTGAATGCACATTATCTCAAAGTCATTTTTATTCAAATGTCTAATCACCAATTTCACCCATGTTTATAAATGAAGTAAAAAGTTGTGTGAGTGACTTCATATGATTATGAGCAGTAATAATTCGTGCTCGAAACGTGGTCATCCGTTAATATTAATTACTGTATAACATTGAGTGATTTATCAAAATAAAATCTTATCCACACAATGGAGTTACGCTCTGCCACAGTGCCCACTTTTTACACTTATGTGAGATCATTTAGAGTCATCTATTTAGTAGGATAATGTCAGGAAGTCAATGATAAGTTCAAAATCTAGGAAAATTAAACGTTACATAACACTAAGGATGAAGTGGATAGAGAGTTGGAGTCCAACTGAAATTTCCAAGTATTGGTTTTGTAGGAAATTTTGTTTGATTGGTTGGAGGATTTCATCATGAGCTGACATCAGTTACAGGACCATTCGAAAACCAACTGGAAGTACTGGACAGCTGTTTCCTCCATCCTGGTTCGGGATTCTTCATCACTATGCACCCAACCAACTGGGGTTCGAACCCGGGACCTCCTGGTTACAAGGCTAGTGAGCTCTTAAACCGTTAGGCCACAGGGACCTGTTCCAATAACCAGCCCATGAATTCTAACTTCTGCCAATTCACAACATAGGGCGACCCGGTTGGCGCCCACTGATGAAGGGTCTCAAACTAGGATGGAGGAAACAGCTGTCCAGAACTTCCAGTTGGTTTTTCAATGTTTCTCTAACTGATGTCAGCTCATGAGGAAATCCCCCAACCGATTTAACTGAAACATCACACAAAAGTAAGAAGGAAGTAAAGAATTAAAAAAGGGTATGAAAAGTTTTATATATTATTATTATTGTTCCCTTTTAATTCCTAGAGGAACATAGGGCTTCAGCCGTGCGTCTCCATCGCGTTCGGTTCTCTGCTAGAGTCTTCACCTGGCTCCAAGTCTGCCCACACGCTTTCATCTCTTCTTCACATGACCTCCTCCAAGTCACCCACACACTCAGGTTCCACTTGAGCAATGGCTTGTCTAGTGATGTCACTTGTTGGTTTCCTCAGAGTATGGCCAATCCATCTCAATTTCTTCCTGCTTATTTGTTGCAAGGTCGGTTCCTGCTAGATTGGTTCGTTCCGAGAGATCCCTGTTGCTGATCTTTTCTGGCCGGCCATCTGATCTTGAGTAGTATTGAGAAAAGAAAGGGGTTGATGAAGGTCTGTAGTTTGTTTGAGATGCTCTTTATGACGCGCCGTCTCTGATCCGTATAGTAGCACTGACTTCACATTGCAGTTGAAAATCCGGATCTTTAATTAAGATAGAAAATACGTGTTTTTCATAGAAAGACTGCGACTGTCTTCTGAAATTCCCATGGCTTTGGAGCTCTGTGAGGATAAAAGCGAGTGGGAGTTCCGTTTGAGAGGTTAGACAGAATGCCGTTGGAAGCGCTCCCATTGGAAGCGCTTCTTCTTGTTTTCATCCACCAGATGAGAAATGACTGCTTTTCTTGCTTTCTAGATGTTATTCTAGCTAACTTCGACATCCTTATCTATACTGTCATCTGTAATTGAAACACTCCTGCCCCAGATGACATAAATTAAGGTTGTAACTGCTTTTAGATTTCTCCTGTGATTACTTTGCTGTTATCGTAACATTTATCTATGACGGAATAGAATGTGATTATTTCACGGAAAATACCGATGAATAGATGAGAATAAAAAAGTTCAGCGAAGAGTCTCTTTTCGCCGTCGAATTCATTCACTTAGCTGTACAATCACATTTATATATATAATTATTTTGTGTATGTGTGTGTGAGTAAATTAGGATTGTCAAACACAAATAAAAATAAGTTAGGGTTATTGTTTACGTCATCAAATGTAAAAGAGAAGACGTTCAGCGAAGAGACTCTTTTCACCGGTGAATTTATTTACATAGCTGTACAATCGCATTAAATAGGATTAGTAGGCAAATGGAATATAAAATAAAAACGTTACGTAACATTGTGTATAACTTGATAACATAGAATTTAACGTTGCAAAACAGAATTAATTTAGAATGACAAGTCGAGCAAATGAAATTTATACCGGGACAGTTAAAAGTGAGAATGGTAATAGTAACAATTGACGTAATAAAGGAATAGTAATACAAATTGAGTAAACAAAACGAAAAAATTAGTAGAGCGAAAATATGATTAGGGATTATCATACTTTAACATAGATGGATTAAGAGCATGAAAGTTGAAGGGGAGGGTTTGAACGAAATGTTTATGTATATAGAGATCTGGCTTTTCTGTTTCGATGGCCAAAGCTTCAGCAATACAGATGAGTCGGGTACTTAGTGAGTTGTGCAAATCACCTTTCGCCTTGTAAATGACTTTAAAGGTGGATGCTGTAGAGACACAGTTACTATCATTGACCAGATGTTCAATGATCGCGCTTTGTATTCCTCCACTCTCACCTCTTCATAACCATGCAGAATAGTGTTCTTGCACCCTCTTGGACAAGACTCGAGTCGAACGACCGATATACCTAGCTCAACACTACCAGGTGAATTGATAAACGTGCATAGAGTTGGTCAACAGCGGGATCTTGTCCTTCAGCTTATTGAACAGTAATGGTCGAGTGATAAAGGCTATTCTCAAAGAAGCAGAAGGGAACGTTCTTTTTTTAAATGATGATATCGGAAGCTAAGCCACCTTTGAATTCCATCCTCATGTATAGTATTTTCTTGGTTATGGATGATAAGTCACATTTCATAGGTTCTTGGGTATAAAACATGGCGGAAATCCATTTTCTATTAGGATTTTTCTTAAAAGATCTAACTCTTCCTCCACAGTATCATGACTACACTGTTTTGCCACTTCACATTGAATTATGATTACAATCACACACATTTTAATTACATTCTGTACTATTGTTATTTCATGTATTCACACGTATGATTCAATTCCCTCACAGGATATAATTCCTCATATATATATAAATATGTATATATATATATATGATGGTGGTTTTATTAATAGCCATCCATTGTTCAACGTTTCAATGCAACATAATTGTTCAAATTTCAATGTTGTTGTTTTAATCCTATATTAAAATTTAGCTTTTTATTTTAAAAATAACGTCTGTTATTTTTTGCTCAGAGGAAGTGGAGGTGGTCAAGATATCAATTCGTTAGGCATGCTACCGGATAAACTGAAAACAGAGCTTGCATTAAATGTGAATTTAGAGACATTGAAAAAAGTAAGTTATGCTTTAATTTCAGTAGTATTGACTGCATAAACGTTTTTAAAAAAATAGATGTTGAATTATTTACTGACATTCGGTTCAAATCACGGAAAACGTTGCAGCGAAGAAAATTTTCTTTCCGACGAAGTCACCGTCAACTGGACTGTACATTCGTGTATTTTTGTAATAAATGGGTAGGAAAGTTTCAGAATAATCTCCGGTCAAGGGTCAGATTGGTAAAATTACAATTAGGAATCAAAATGCCCTAATAAACAGGGGGTAGGGGACGGATAAAGCTCAGACAAAGTAGCATCATAATTACTGAGGAGATTGACATATTGTGCAATTGGGGGTTAGAAATGTAGAAATAACATAAGAAGACAGGATGTTTTGATAAAAAATCTAGTGAGATCATAACTAATGTGACGAATAATTGTTTATGCAATTAGGGATTAAATATGTAGAAATAATAAAATGACAAGATATGCAGGAAGTTCGGATATGAAAATATGTTAGTATAAATAAAGGTAAAGAAAAACTTAAAAATAACGTGAATAAACAGGAAGTTTGGATAAGTAAGGCAATGGGATAGTCACTATTAAAAGAATTACTTGTTTATGATGGCCATGGCAGGGATAAGGGTTGGAAGTAGCGTGAGTTTGAGCTTTTGGATAGCTAGTGCCTCGGCTGTGCCCAGATATCTTGATTTTACTCCCTTTAATAGGTTTGATCGAATCTTGTATATTATTTTGAAGGATTTTTCGAATGACGCTGAATGTCCTGAATTGACTAGATGTTCTGTCACTGAACTATATACACGTTTTCGTTCTCCGTATACTAGCCAGGCTAGATAGTGTTCACGAGAGCGTTTTTCAAGTTGGCGCATGGTACGGTTGTATTGTGTTGTACGTTTGGAATAAAACTGACTAAGATGGCTTTTTGATGTTTTGGCTTGGAATGGAGGTGTGTAAAAAGCTGACAAATGTTACTCAAAACGTTATCTAAAGTTATACTTCATTAGGAAGTGATTTAGGCATGAACATATATATATATATGTATATACGATTTCCTAGTAATCTGACCAAACCCTTGATAAAGTTTAACAAAGCAAGAAGACCACGTTGTGCGGGATAAATCAAGAAAGCATTATGTTTCATTGGTTCTTTACAGCTGTATACGCACATCAACAATAATTTAAATATTTTTAATTGGACACTAGTCAGTAACTAGTGTAATGTATCTAGTCGTATCTTTGGTGCAGATGGAAATCTATCAGTCAAGTTTGCGAAGTGCAATATCCAATACAGTCAGTCCTACAGGAAGTCCATCCCAAGCCTGAATAGGAAACTCAGTGGTTACGTCTCTGACTGACTGAAGCACTGGGTGATGCGGGTTCGAATCTCAGAAGAATGGACATGAGTTCCTTGCTGACTGGTGAGTGCCAATTAGCACAAAACCTAGGTCAGCAGGCTGGAATTCCTGTGGCCGATTGCCTCCAGTCATTAAATACTATCAATTTGAAGCATGGAAACTACTCATCAGGACATTAGAGAGAAAAGAACAAAATGTTTCTAGCAGAGACCACTATATTTTCGGCGATTTCGTTCTCAAAAGCAGTTGTACAGTTGCAGTGATATACATCCGTTTACATGGATGCAATTATCATGATTTAATTCAAGATAATAATGAAGGAGGTGAAAGGTGATAATAATTTTCAACTTGATATGACAGTCTGAAGGTGTGAAAATAGATTACAAGGGGCTTAGAGGCTAAAATACACAGGCGTAGAAAATAGTTGCATCATATATATATATCAGCATAAATGGGAGGAACCTGAAATAAACAACCTCCTCTATCTACCTGCTAAGCGTTGTTTCAGCTACAGGCGGACGGAACTGATGAGGATATCAAAGCAAGGATCGGGAAAGGAAGACAATCTTTCATTTCTCTCAAGTCTGTTTGAAGGTCAACAACACTCAGCATGAAAAATAAAATCCTGATTTTCAACTCCAATGTGAAGTCAGTGCTACTATACGGATGGATCAGAGACTTGGCCAGCGCGTCATAAAGAGCACCTGAAACAAACTACAGACCTTCCATTAACAGCTGTCTTCACTCAATACTCAAGATCAGATGGCCAGAAAGAATCAGCAATAGGGACCTCTGGGAGCAAACTGACCAGGAACCAATTGTGCAACAAATAAGCAGGAAGAAATGGAGATGGATTGGCCATACTCTGGTGAAGCCATCAAGTGACATCACTAGACAAGCCATCGCTCGAGTGGAACCCGAAAGGGAAGCAGCGAGTTGGTCGTCAGTGCAAGGGTGACTTGGAGGCGGTCATGTGAAGAGGATATGAAAGCATGTGGGCAGACTTGGAGGCAGGTGAAAACTTTAGCAGAGAACTGAACGCAATGGAGACACGCGACTGAAACCCTTTGTTCCTCTAGGAATTAAGGGATATTATATATATATATAGGTTTTTAAGTAATACATTTGTAAACGGGGTGAGCATAGAAACGAATTGAGATGATAGATTTTATAACTGAATTAATAATTCAGAGCAAAAATAGTTTGAGCGAACAGTTGTGCTTTCAATAAATTCTTCTTTTTCAGGCCTTACAATTATAAATGCATTAATTTTAACATAAAATAGCCAGCCAGTCAGTAAAAGGCAAATTAGAATCACATCAAAAATGTGTATCGTGGAACAAGTATAAGTAAGATGGGGTGGAATAGAAGTCAGTTATTTTTCAATGTGCATGGTCAATGAGAACATGATATATATATATATATATATGTAGTTAAAAGAATACAGGTTTCGAGGGTGAGTGCAATCGGTGGTGTGTGAGACAATATGAATACTATAGAAAATAAATCAGACGGCCAGAAAGAATTAGCAATCAGAAACTGTAGGAACAAGCCAACGAAGAGCCGATTGCTCAGGAAATATGTAGTGGAGAATGGAGATGGATGGGCCATTTGTTGAGGAGGCCGTTGAATGGAATAGCGCACACTACAGGCCATAGCTTGAGTGGAATCTGAATAAGAAGCGAAGAGTGGGGGTAAGCGGTGTGAGGGTGACATGGAGGAGATAGTTTTGTGAGAAGAAGGAGGACAAGATTAGAGATTATGGACTTAGCTGAAGAGGACAGGAGAAAATAAGAGCAAGTGGCAATGTGTTGGTGAAGCTTTATGTTCCTTGTCGGAAACCAAGGGAATCATAACAGTAATAACATAGATAAAAACAAAACTAGGGTAGAAAATAAAACTTTCAAAACAAAATATAACTAAAATAACAGTATTAAATAACGTAAAGTATGTTTATCCACGTAAAGTAGGATTAACAGCGATTTCCTTTTGAATACATAAATTCACTCATAATCATTTAATAACAATCGTTTTACGGATATACAACAGCCTGAAACCATCCTGAACTGTAGTCATCATAAAGGACCTCAATGCATCGATTTTATGAGTGTTATCTAACAAATGATGAGCAATCGCGCTGCAAATGACTCTTCCATCTTCCAGACTCAATTTCTGCTTTTTGAAATTTACATATATATACATATATATGGGGTTACAAATCCCGTGTTAGTTGGCATAATAGGGTGAGCAGTGCTGAGGTTAGGCGTCGAGTGCTAGGGAGGGAGGAGAAATCAATCGACGAGGTTGTGAAGTTAAACCGATTGAGGTGGTTAGGACATATGTTACGTATGGCTAGACATTGCCCTCCTTGACGGGCAGTGATAGCTGACTTATATAGGATCCGGTTGGGAAAGAGCCGACACATGGCTTCATCAGTCAATGAAATCCACGACAATTAATTTGAGCCAGCCAGTCACGTAGGCAGGTGTTGACTGCCTGACTGGTTGGAGTCGTCAGGGTGGTAAGAACCGATGAAGGCTGAAGACAACTGGTGAAATGCCTCAAAGTTATTCTCAGTGATGACGCAGATACATTCGCTGTTTATGATTTATAGTATCCAATATAGCTCTGTTGTTCTTCCATATTACCATTCTTTTCGCCTCACATTTCCGTTAATTATCTTTCTCTCTTTTGAATCTCTCTTTACTCTCTTCTCTTGCTTTGTGTGCTACATGGAGTGGAGTGTGGCAACTCGAACTGGTGCACATATGTGCGAAGTCCTTAGTTGAAACCGGTCAGCTAGTCAGTCTTTTCAGGGATTCTACGCATATTACTTGGTTCTGCAATCAGATACCTTCTGGTGAATTCCTTCAGTTCCCGAATGACCTCCAACGGAAATGTGTACTGATATGCTAGCTAGCAATTATGGAGTAGTGAGTGTATAGATGCCAGAAGCGATAGAGCACGAAACCAAGGTCAGCTTATTTTAACAGATCCCGCCCAACTATTCAACATTCACTCAAAGTTCACCACGTTAAAGGTTCTCTTGTGTTAGCTGCCAGTCACACAACAAGTCTGACTGGTAGAATTTATTCACTAATAAAAAGTACACTCTAGTTGCCAGTGTATACACAAAATTCATTGCATTTTTATCTTGATGAACGACCAATGTCGTTCTGCTAAAATTCCTGAGACTTTCATCGACTGAACAATCTAATGTTCAAGTGAATCACTTCTTAAAGTGGAATAGAAAATTCGATAATATCGGGATTCGGGAGAACCATTTTCGAGTTGTTAGTGTCTTTATAAAGTGGTGAACGTTATTTGATTGACTGAATAGTTCCAAAATGTGAGATGGCTTACGTTAATTCCTTTAAAGAAACTTTCTAGATCGATTGCATCACAAATAAGCATCAGGTAGAGAGGGAGTGAACATCGCTGAATTTCTTGAGTTCTCATGTTAAACGAAGATCTGACTTCAGTTAGACGATAATTGTTTCATCCTTTCTTAAGAATCCTCAACATCACTAACATACGACTCAATCGGGAATCGAAACGAGAACCTTCAAGTTACGAGGCTATCAGGTTGACCATTTGGTCACTGTGTTTGCACTTAACAGCTCATGAGCTCTAACTTCTAACAA